GGTAAGGTCAGCGCATAGGGCGAAGGGCGAAGGGCGAAGGGCGAAGGGTAAAAAAGCGGGGACAGGGAATTCAAGTGGAAGGCAAAAGAAAAAAGTTGAAGCAGTTGAAAAAAACAATATCATGGGTTGGGTGAAAATTATGGTGAAGTTCTCACTCCTTCAAAATTTCAGCCCATGCACATAGGATGGTCCAAGCGACATAAAGCTCTTAAGGAAGGTTGGCGGTTTCTGAAGTTGCACATAGGGGATTTCAAGTGACATAAGACTCTGTGAGAAATTGTGTAAATGATGTCTGGAGATTTCCAACATACATTATTATGTCTATCATTGCGGATGGACGAAAACTAACGAGTACTTGTCAAACCACTGCCCGCCGCACCAGCCCCGCCCCCGCCCCCGCCCCCACCAGTCTTCTGACAAGTAATGTTTAGGACATGACAACGCAACAACATTCGGCATTCTACTGGTACTTACTTTTTTGCTTGCCAGGGGCTTGAAATTTTGAATTCGGATCTTTCGATCAAATACTACACGGTACATCTATTGGGCTGACAGCCATTCGCGGTGCTCGACACTTGTATCGACAAGTAGAGAACGCAGCGAAACTTGAAGACAGGAATATGGTCGGTAAGGAGCAACAGATGCGAAGTTGTGCCATTGCGATTTTGTGGACAAATTACATGGAGGGAGGCTGGAGCAAACTTCTGAACCAATGAAAAAATGGCTTTTCATAGGTTGCTGGAGCACATACTGCCACCGCTCAAAAAAACGATTTCCTTGGTAAGGGACGCTACTCGCCAACAGCAGGAAATTCAATTCAGCCAAATCAGGGGAAACCCCGGAAACCATGGAACAGTGAAAGTGATGTCACCAGTCAGTGGTGGGAAAATTGCTGCAAATTCTTCAGAAGTCTTTGAAAGACCAAATCGGCGGGCACCATTCGACGAGGACCCCGCTAATCAACGGCGGGGAAACCTCTGCGAGTTTTTTGAAAGCCTCGGAAAGGCCAAATCAGCCAACGCTGCCGGAGAACGACGTGAACGGGCCATGCTCGTCGAGTCTCCGCAAATTTCATAGCCTGGGAAAGAGCTGGAGATCTAGACGTTTCGCATGGGCAACCCACAACCCTATCCATGACCCCTGTCACCTCTCTCTGAACAAATTGTTCGACACATTTTCATTATTTCACAAACAATCAATGTGCTTTCAGCAATGAATGCGCTTGACGGGCCGGCCGTTCGACAGGATCTCTTGATCAATATACATGAAGTTATAAACCCACCTTGCTTCAGTCCGCTTGGTCTGTGAAGCACAACAGCCAGCCTGCCATCAGCGAGGGTCTGGCTCTGACAACCTCCGAAGAACTAATCCTAACTCTACAGAAGAAGCCTTCTAAAAGACTCCGTGATGAACACCCTATCATGCACAATACAGTGTTCTCCTGTCCTTCTCGCAACATAGGTTAAAATGAAACAAGATAAAGAAAGAAGATAGGTACCGTACCTGCTCAAGATGATGACGTACACAGGCACACACATTGAGAAATAGTCCCAAACAGGCCCATTCTCATCTGCCATGGACATGAGCAGCATTACAGCATTAACGAAACCCTGCCACACCCATTGTCGGTCCTGTCCAATAAGTGTTTAATCACATAGACTTTATACGGACTACCCCCGACAGGCAATCCAGACTTTATACGAGCAAGTTCATTATCTCAAGCTCCCTCCCCAGAGACCACCCACAAAGGCAACCCACTCCTCTCTTCCATATTTCCTTCTCTCTCTCTCTCTCTCTCTCTCTCTCTCTCTCTCTCTCTCTCTCTCTCTCTCTCTCTCTCTCTCTCTCCTGTCTCTTATACACATCTAGATGTGTATAAGAGACAGGTCTTACACAGCTACATACATAGTACGCTAACTAAAACACACATGCACACACACAAACTTCACCGGAAGTCCAGAAGACAACCTGGGCACATACGCAAGCATGCGTGCTGTTGTCAGGTTGAGCGGGAAAGATTACCAAATTAGCTCTCATCAAAGATTCCAATCTAAAAATTTGGAAACTATTCCTGGATGGAAGGAAAAGAACAAGAGGCTGGCTGGATGGGAGATGATTGTCAAAGATTGCGATCCAAAAATTTGAAAATTCTTTCCTCCATGTACATCCGATCCTTCAGGTCGCGGGGCATATGTCTTTCGTTGGGGAAAAGCATTAACCCGTGCTCCTTCGACGCTCCTGTCAGAGCATTGATTAATCTCGCCGTATGCCTAAAATGGACATTCTCATCTATCATTCCATGCACAAGCATCAACTCACCCTGCATTCCAGACACCCAGTGCATCACCGAGCTTGTCTTGTACGCTTCCGCATTTTCCTGAGGACTGCCCATATATCGCTCCGTGTAATGCGTGTCGTAACCCTCCCAGAATGTGACAGCTGCCCCTGCCACTGCAACTCTGAAAATCGCGGGGTATCGCGCCAAGGCCATCGCCGCCATATACCCCCCATAGCTCCACCCATAGATTCCCACCTTCCACGCATCCGTCAGCCCCTGTTCTATCAGCCACTGCACGCCAAAAGCTTGGTCGTCTACTTCGACCGTACCCATCTTATGCTTTATCTGAGCTTCAAATGCCAACCCCCTTCGCGAACTTCCACGATTGTCCAACTGCCATCCAGTGTCAAGCCAACATCGCATGCACAACACCGAAACCAACGTATATTACTGAACATTTTTTTTTTTGTTTTTCCCATTGAGATATATTTCATGACATTCAACTATATGTTTTCATGACATTCAAAAAAAGGGCGTTACCGTCTATATTGTCGTCTATAATACTTTTTTTTTTTCTTTTTTCTTTTTTTTAAATTGGCTCCATTCTATTGGTGGGGAGTTGCACCTGCTGGAAACCGGGTCCAGCGTCCCATTAATATTATATACTATATAGAAGTGTATATTATCAAAGCTCACAACAAAACGGACGGATACCGAGTCTGGGAGATATACCTTTTTGATAAGACTTGCTGCTCTCTCAAAAGGCAAGACAGATGTATACTGAACAGAGATGTCTACCGCCTTCACCTGAACAGAACGAAAGGTCGTTATGGACGCATTTGGCTCACCTGTCAGTCCACATGCAGTGAAAAAGCCCATACAGAGTTCTGTTCCGGTGAAGACCGTAGCACGCAATGGGCTTCAGCAAAGGTTTAAAGGGATAAAGCTATCGACAACTGGAAAAAGAGGAAAAAGAAAGAGCAACTAGCAATAGTTTCCACTGTCAAGGGATTACAATGGACCGCCCCAAAAGGATGCGCAAGTATTTCTGGGGGCCATGTATAATGACTATTGTCTGCCCAGCATTTTTGTTACATCAGCCTACCAAAAAACGCTATCTTCTTTTTTTCACTTTACTTTCTCGTTTTATTTGACCAAACTCAGAGTCTATTTTTAGCTTTCTGTTTTCTTATGTTTCTTCTGATTTCTCTATGCGTAGCCTTTCCACAACTTCAAATAATCAATTACCATTGTTTTGCCGTTGGGGTGCAGTTCAGACCCAAAGTGCCCATTTGGCAAAGTGGTGGGCTTGGATGTACTGGAGAACAGAAGGGAAGATAACAAGCATCTTTCTGGTCGCTCGTACTCCGACATCTCTTCATTTGTTAAGTTGAGCTTCCTGATCCTCACCTAAGCCAGAATGTTAGGAATTCCCCCTCCTCTCTGAAGAGAATAGAAGACACAAGACTAGGGGGGGGGTGACAGTTGTGCAGGCGGGTACATACCTTCCAGACCAGGATGCCCTTTCGGCTGAGGTACTGCGCTCGCATATCAACCGTCGTCATCCACGAGTTGCAAACTGTCTGAACATGGGGTCCACCATATACACTCACAACTGTCCTGTAAGGTGGCTTGCCGAACACGCTTGCATCAGGTCGATATAGTGCCCCGTACAATACAGTTCCGTCATCCCTCTGAAGGCGCACAATCTCAGGTGGAGTTTGCTGTAACCGCTGGACTCTCACGTCGGAACTAGGCGGCTCATAGATCTTGCAAAGGACAGCACCATCTTCCAAAGAACAAAGGAGTACAGTTGGTGGGGAGTTGAGCGAATCATGCGCATCGATGAACCGTTTCAGATGGTGATCAAGAACGACAGCGTGTCTGCCCGCTGCCTGGGTCAGCTTTTTGATCCCTTGGTTCCCTTTTGAGCCTTCCACCGATAGCCCTGTGACATAAAGATGTGTCTCAAGAGGCCCATCCTTGGTGCCTGTGAAATATACAAGTCCGGCTTTCTCATCCACCCCTGCAACTTGTTCAACCATCCACTCCCCTGATGTCAACGGTCCTAAGCATCGCATCCTTCCATCGTATAAATACAAGTGTCGGAACCCGGTTCTTTCACTGCCCCATATTAGTCCCCCTGCGAGATGTCCAGAAGCCTTCTGCAGCGGAGCAAAGCAGTCGTGCAACGTTACCCACACCAGGTTCTCTTCTACGAGCATCAAAGTCCTCCTCCCTGTCCGTGGATCAAACTGGACAAGGTTCAACACCGTCTGAGCCCGGTTCTGGATTTGTGCCAGTAGCTTTCCCTCAGGAAGCCACATCACCCGAGCAAGGTACTCCTCCTCTTTGTTACCATCAGATCCTCCGCAAGAGAGATCCATCCACTTCACTGGACCTCCAGTTGCAGGGACAATGCCAAGCCGAACCTTCACGTTCGCATGTCCTGCAAATGGGTATACGTGTTCCTCTTCCGCATCTTTTCCGACACTTGCCTTGGCCAAATGAGCGATCCGATAAACTGGCACACTAGAGGTGTCAACCTCTGCGAATGCAATGAGCTGACTATCAGGCGACCACCAAAAGCCGTTCCTCCGATCCATCTCTTCCTGCGTATGCACGAGCATAAGGCAAGAACCGCAATGCGAAAGCAAACACAACAGTTCAGCAAAGGGGCACGGAGAGACAAACTGGCATGCGATGGAAGAGAGTCAATCATCTATCTAGCACCTGTGGCACGCCTCCTGCCTTCCCCCCCATCTCCCCCATGATCAACCCAGCTATGGCAGCTAAACTAATCTCTCAGGCACAGCCACACGCAACACTTGATGTCCTCAGAAGACCTGAGAGCAGTTACTCTCCGACCCAAGCTCAAAAGCCATGAAATGAGCAGGTAATAATGAGCACACGGGTACTCGAGCAGGGATAATCAACATTGCATTGGGGGTTTCATTCACAGAGAGGTGGTCAGTTGACATCGCCCTATGACCTGGGTCAGGTGGGGCATAACTTTTCGAGTGCAGGAAGGTACCAGACATCTGTTAGTGGCGGTGTTGGCCTTCGTTAAATAAAGGAAGTCGTTGGTCTGTAAGAAAAGAAGCAAAAAAAAGCAGCACACGGAGCTCATATTGGTCACAAGGGAGTAGTTGTAGGCTAGGCTTTGTGCAGACAAGTTTGAAAAAGGGTCTGGACACTCAACCAGGCAATCAACTGCTGTAGTTGTGGTAAACAAGGACACACTGCAGACATCTGAGTAAATTGTGCTGGGACTTCTCCAATGGACAACTCATACATTTGCTGACTTCTCAAGTCAGGGTTTGTTAGGCAAAGGGCATACTTGTAGATAGAATTTTCCAAGCGAGAAATGGCAACTCCAAAACAAAATATGCTCTACACTGAGTCTACAGTAGTTTGCATGTACAGCACTTGTACATGGTTAGTGAAAGGATTCACGACTCTCAGTGACCCCCCGGTCCAGTCTCATGACTTGTTTTCGGGTGTACAATATCTGCCTTCTTTCTGAAGCTTTAGCCAAGTTTCGGTTCTGACAGGTGTCAGCATGTTAAGTAAGAGTTTCAGTTTTGGGTCTGCTGAAGCTTGTAGCGGAAGTTCCACGCCTGGAGTCTCAAGTTGGCAATTCTGTGTCCAGCAGTTTTGGGCAAGTTCATGTCGTGCCAAGTGTCCACAACACAAGTGGAACTCAGGGCCTGTAGCGTAAGGCAGATCCATGCAAGTTCAGACCGTGCCAAGTGGCCGTAGCACAAGTAGGTGTAGGGGACGCGGAAGAGCTGCTGCATTCTTGTGCGTTACAGCATCCACTGAGTTAGTGAGCTAAGTAGTAGTAGTAGTAGTCGACAGCGCCTGGCGCCATAGCTGTAGATTGAGAGAGTGAGAGAGAGAGTTTCACTGGAGAACATTCAGAGAGCGATGAGAGTGACCTGTGAGTTCTGAGTGTGAGCATAAACCAGGTAGTACAAGAGAATATATGAGAGGGGTAGCTAGAGTTGCTGTGTGTTGCATCAAGGGTGGTGTGGCAGCCGTAGCAGCAGGAAGAAGAAAGACAATCCTGCAATTCTGTGTTGTTGCCAAGGCAATTTCTTGAGTTCAGAGCTCATGTGTGTTCAGTGCTTGTCCGGCTTTGTGTGAGAAGTCGTTGCGAGTGCGTGATGCATGGCAGTCTCTTTCCACTGGTATGGGAGGAGACTCTTGCTGTCCTCCGGAGCAGCAGTTGTGGAGTAAGCTGGTGTTGGGACTGAGGCCAGCGGGTGTGCGCGAGACAGGAAGGACCGAAAAACAAGGGTCAAAGGTGAAGGGATACGTACGTGCAGGCGGTGCGAGGAGTGTGGATCAACCGAGGAGATCTTCATCCACATCCTGAAGTGAAGTGCCTCCATCTCTGAACCTTGTATGTGCTGTGGCCGTGCTTTCATTGCTGGTTATTGTTGGTTCCTTCGGATTGACCTGCTGCCAGTTTCTGTTGTCGTTAGGTGGTCATGCAGGTTGCAGGAGTAGATAGGTAGGGTCATAAAAACCGCAGCGATCACGTAAAGTAGGGGCATGGGCATAGAGTGGCGGGCATTCGTTAAATAACCCAGCTAGCCCAATGACCATGCTGCGAACCAGTTGAACTGGGTTGTGGTTGACCAGTCTTGAGAAGACACAAGTGCCTCACCATCCTGTTTGCAGCGTTAAATAATTTTGGAGGACATTGCTGGCAGTGCTTAAATTGCTGGTTGGCTTCAATGGCTTGTTCAGTCATGTTTGCGACCTGTAGTGGAACCTGACATCCCAATAGTAAGTCGAAGTCACGCTTGGAGGTGAAGGTCAACGATTTGGGGGTAAAGTTCCGTTAACTCCGGTTGCGGGGTAGGTCTAATTGGTAGGAGGTCGTGGAACGGGGTCTTACCTGTGCAATGATTCTCAAGTCGATCGTCTCCACCTCTCACACACATGCCATTAGCATCCAGACGAGTCTTAACACTTGAAACCGATAGCCGAGACATAAGAGGCACATAAGAGATTGATACGCAAAATATCTTTATTATACAAAGAAAGACTTCATGTCTCCTGTGGTCTCTGCTGCTCACACAGTCTCAGACTCGACCCAGGTATGTAACCGTCTCTCTCTCTCTCTCTCTCTCTCTCTCTCTCTCTCTCTCTCTCTCTCTCTCTCTCTCTCTCTCTCTCTCTCTCTCTCTCTCTCTCTCTNCTCTCTCTCTCTCTCTCTCTCTCTCTCTCTCTCTCTCTCTCTCTCTCTCTCTCTCTCTCTCTCTCTCTCTCTCTCTGTGTCTCTCGCTCTCTCTCGGGTCTTGTATCACTCAACCCCACAGTCTCTCTCTCTCCATTGGATCGTGCCCTGAATACACCCGCTATGGCTATGGCCGCCCTGCTTCCCTATCACTACCCTAGCTATGGCTGTCGTCAATGCTCCTTCTTCGAGCGTTGTCTTGCCCAAGTTGCTTCGTCACACAAGCAGCAGCAGCGCTTCCACAACTTCACAAATGAACAACTGTCTGTTGCTGCACTATAGCAGCTAAGTATAGAAATTGGACTTTGCTTGACCTGCCTCAGACCGGTACCGGTCAGCCACGGCATGTCTGTTGCAATCATTTTGTCGGTCTGAAACTTTGCAGACTTTCCTGGGAGTTGCTGCAATCTTTCTGGATTTGGAACTTCCGGACTTTTCTGTGGGGTTGGAGGCCGAAGAGGAGGCCTATGCAGATGACCCCACTCTTGGTAACAACCAAAAACAGGACGCTGATACAGCCTGTTCCTCTTCAGCCCAAGAGTCTAACATAAATGACAAAGAGGAAAAACTTAATGCCTTTCGAAAGTCTACCAATGTCAAGGGACCAAACTGAAACGCAAGAAAGAAGTTCGTCGTACTTCCTAAGGGAGTCAAAATCCCAGCCGACAGGAGGATGCTTCAACCAAACCTTGGTTAGATCTCCGGATCAGTGAGGCTGACTGGAAGGCTAGGGTTAAGAAAGGGGTATGCCTGCATTGCCAAAAATTGGGACATAAAGTTCAAGATTGTTATAGGCCGCAGTGAAACCAGAATTGGGCGTAGAGTCGCTGTCAGCACACTCTACAGCAAGGGAGACTGAACAGGTTAGTGGTAGTTCTCTAAGGAACCTTGATTCTGTTCAACAGTCCTCCTTTCAAGCCCCACCATCTGCTGATTCCAAGGCGGATGCATGTCATGTCAATTTTGTTGAGCCGTGGGATGAGTCTGAGACGATTAGCTTCCACTACCACCTTGAGCATTGGGCTGAGATGAAACAGCAGCGTGCTCAAGGGACAACTCAGTTGTTCTTCTTCAAGCTTCTCATCAACCACCGCTACCTCCGTGTCTTGGTTGACTGTGGTGCTACTACTAACTCTATCTCTCCACACGGGCTACGTAAGGTGGGCTTGGGAATGAAGCAAGTGGAATTGCAAATCCTTTGTCGGACCTAAGTAGGCAACACAGAAGTTGTCACCTCCACACATGCAGTCAAAGGTGTGCGCATTACCTTTTGGGCTTGGGATGGACAAAACTATCACACACGCACCAAACTTCGTTCTCAACAAGTGTCCCTTCGACCTGATTCTTGGCTTGGGATGGTTAAAGTCCCGATGTGAAAGCACAAAGTGGAAGGACTCCATGTTCGTGGTCCGAGATGCTAAAAGGGGAACGAGCGTGTTGTCCTCTTGGATGAGAAGCACGAATCCCCAATGACAGTTCTCAATGCCATGTGATTCTGCAAGAAGTGGCGCAAGCACAAGGAGGATGAGCATGTATGTTACTTTTGTTTGTCCTACTTTTGCAGCTAGTACTAGTTATACTTTGCATGGTGTGCCTATTTCTAATACTTCTACTACTACTTCTACATCCATTTCNCCTACTTTTGCAGCTAGTACTAGTTATACTTTGCATGGTGTGCCTATTTCTAATACTTCTACTACTACTTCTACATCCATTTCTAGTCCCAACGACGCAAAAGTAGAATCGTTGGGACTAGAAATGGATGTAGAAGTAGTAGTAGAAGTATTAGAAATAGGCACACCATGCAAAGTATAACTAGTATGCGAAGTAGTAGAAATAGGCACACCTACATAGGCTCCAAGTGGGTGCCTTTGCATACATAATAGGCCACGGCCATCACAAATGAAATTTTGTGTAGAGCCTATTATGTTTGCGAAGGCACCTACACTAGTATAATAGGCCACGGCCATCACAAATGAAATTTTGTGTAGAGCCTATGTATGCGAAGGCACCCACTTTGCGGCCACCTACATTGACCTCTACCACGGACCTGTACTGATCATCGTCCAAGAGTCTCTGGGGTCCTTCCCTGACCACTCAGTCTATAACTCTTCTAGGGACTCAGACACATCTCTCAAACAAAGCGTCGATGGGTCTGAATGTGTCTGTGGGGCGATGTATGAGTCACTAGCCTTGGCCAACGCCTGAAGTGGGGAAGGCAACATTACCACTTCAGGGCGAGTAAGAGCGGCTAACACTCCTACTAGCCCGAGGTGTTTCCCTGCGAAGTGCTCACAGAAGCACTCCTAGGGTTCGAGGATAAGCCCACTACCGTTGGAGCGACTACCGTCGTGGTGACCT